CGCCTGGGCTTGCACCTTCTCAAAGTCGAGGTCCCTCTTCCTGGGGACGTCTAGGGCTGGGAACAGGTCTCCAATCAGCCCCATGAAGACGGGCAAGTCATCTGTCACAATCTTGGGGATGTTGAAGTCTCGTAAAGCTCTCATGAGAACTTGGTCCTCGGCGCGGCTGGGGGCCCCTCTCTTCAAGGAGCCCGCTACCACCAGCACGGACTTGATAGCGCGCAGACCCCAGTCATAGTGGTCCTGCCAACAGGCAGCAAAGTATTACACTTGCACTTCGGTGAGAGAGACATGTTTTAAACAACGGTACAGAGGAACACCCTGCCCGTTGCCCCACACCCAGGTTATTCACGCAGTGTCCAGCAGACTGGACTTAAAGTGAGCTTATGTGCAAGACAAGCCTCAGTCAGCCATGAGGTGAATGGCAGTCTGGCTTGCTTCCTTGTAAATCACCTCCGCTGAGATGAATAATACCTGGATGCTCTCGTCTTAACTGGCTCTATTCTATTCTGTTCTATTCTGTTCTATTCTGTTCTATTCTGTTCTATTCTTCTATTCTATTTTTGGACTACTTGATTTCTTCCAGAAGGCAGAAATACGCCATATGATACAGCAGCGTGGAAGTGGAATTTGTCCAGCCATAGACCTGAACTATGCAGAACGCAAGTCAGCATGTTACTACCAGCTGAGAGATTTTTTAAACTATCTGTCAGGTTTGAAATTCAAATTAGCTCTTTCATCTTAAAAGAAGCATGCAATATTTTTAAATTACCTGTTTAGACAGTAGCTCTTTGCAGAGTGTATACAGAGTAATGAACTTTCTTGCTAGAAGCTTAGCATCAATAAAACCTTCTGCAACAAGCATGATTTCACAGATCAGTTCAAAATCGGGGACCACCATGGCACAAGGTCTGGAGAAGAGCAGCAGCCGGTTAGCAGGGCTGTGCATGGACGTCCACATGCCCCTCACCCTCCCACAGTGAGCAAGAATCTGCACCCAAGTTTCCAATAAAAATCTGTCCCTGCTGCTGTTAGCATCAGAGAATCGGGCAGTAATTCACACCAGCTGGGGTCTCTCTGAAGGTCTCTTGTCCAGCCTCCTGCTCTAAGCAGGGCTCATGTCACAGCTGGATCAGGACACCCTGGGCCTTCTGCAGTCACAGGTTGAGTTCCTCCACAGACAGAGATCCCACAGCATCCCTGGGCCATCCCTTCCAGCACTTGACCACCTTTTTTTCTTATTCTCAGTCGGATTTTTAGCTGAAGGTGGCAATTAGACACCCCGAGCACCCGCTCCTCCAGATCGAGCAGCCCAGCTCTCCCAGCCCCTGGTCATCTCAGGGGCTTTGAGCAGGGCTGTCTGGGCGCCAAGGTCTCCCCGACACAAGGGCTAAGGGCTGCCGGTACACACAAGTATCCTAGTCCACACTAGCAAAGGCTTGGGTCACGTTACGGATGCAGCGCACGAGTGCTACCGCAGAGGTAACGCGGTAATGACGCGGTAATCACTGGCCCGACTGCCGACGGGTACCTGAACAGAGCTTTTAAATTTTCAGGCAGTTCTGTCCGTCCTGCGTAGCCAGGGTTCATGGTAATGAACAGCCCAACCGACTGGATCAGAGCAATTTTCTCTCCAAGGAAATGGAATGTTTTCTTCTTGGCACGAATTGCGTCTAGAACACATTTCACCTGGCAGGCAAGGGGACGCGTCAGCGCCGGTGGCCCCGCGGCTCCCTGCCCTGCGCCCCGGCTCACCGTCACCGACACCCGCGGAAAGCGAGCCTGGAGGTTCAGTTGTGCCACCAGCAATGTTAGAAATAACACCGAGAGCTCGCGGAAGCCGCAGCAGCACAGCAAGCCCCGGCCTCGGGAGGCCTGGCCTTAAACCAGCTTCTTCCCAGGCACCGTGACGCCCCGTCCCCAGGCACTGGCAGTGACGGTGGGGGGTGACGGGTCGCCAGCATGGGGCACAGATGGGCTGGTGATCTTAAACGTGCCCAAAGCCCCTGTGCTGCTGCGCTTCCCCTCCAGTTGTAGCCCATGACTCAGTGGAAATAACCGCAGCAAACCGTCCCTTTGAAAGTCAGGTTTCACCGAGACAGCGTTCAGTACGTGAACGGGAACCTGCTGCCGCTGGATTCCTGTGGAGAGCACGCACCTGCACAGCAATCACAGACAAAACCTCCACCGAAATGCGATTGAATTCGTCGAAACAGCCCCAGGCGCCGGTCTGAGCAAGCCCCTTGTAGATGTTGCCGCAGGACTGGAGAGAAAGCACCGGGACGGGCATCAGACACCGCACTTTCATACGGAGGCTGCAACGTGGGCATTTGTTAAGAAAGCTCAAGTGCTGGGAGCTGCTCGTGCTGCTCCTCAGGGAAACTCCCCGCGGCGCTCCAGCCCTGCCAGGCTCCCACAGGCCTCCAGGGACACGAGCTGGCTGGAGCCACGGGGGGAGCG